CAAAAAGTTGAATTAAGTATAATTTACCCCTAACACTTTCCTACATATGCCCTTTGAACTCCTAAGAGAGTTGAGGTTCCTATTTAACATCATCTTGTTCCCATTTCTTCATAACAGATTACCTCAACTAGGTTTAAGGACTTATGAAAAGAGAGATCCATTGATTTTATCTGCATTGATGTTATGTACTTCAAGTATTTTCAGAAAGGTACTGTTGAATCTCCAGTAAGGGAGATTTCTGGCAATTTAAAAAGAATACAAAACGTTCAGACACTGTGGAAAAGCTTTTTCCTTTCTTTTCCAGTAGCAGGAAGGTGGTGGTATAGTCTATTCTGATGACCTAGATGTTATGTACTGAATAACGTCACACATTTTATTCTTCAGCAAATTTCCCAGTTGAACATGGTGTTTTGTTGGCCAGAAAAAGCAAAGGACAAGACATACAGGTTCCTGATGTTACGATGGCAACAACCAGTGATAGAATAAAAAAGATCTCCAATTATACAGTGAATGTGAACGCCATCTACAAGATAATGTCAGATATCAAAATTAACTAAACTAACCAATATAATAGTAATTCAAAATAAGTTTTCTCCTCCAAAAAGAAAATTTAAAAATCGGCAGCACCCGTAGCTCAGTCAGCAGGGCGCCGGCCACATACACAGAGGGTGGTGGGTTCAAACCGGCCCAGGCCAGCTAAAACAGCATCATCTTGTTCCCATTTCTTCATAACAGATTACCAGACAACTGATGAAACAACAACTCCAAAAATAGCTAGGTGTTGTGGAGGGCACCTGTAGTCCCAGCTACTTGGGAGGCTGAGGAAAGAGAATCACTTATGCCCAAGAGGTGAGGTTGCTGGGAGCTGTGATGCTGCATCACTCTCCCAAGGACGACAAAGTGAGACTCTGTCTCAGAAAAACAGCTAACACAATTTTAGCCTTATTAATAATGGTAGTGTCTGGCCCAAGAGAACATAGTTAAAGTAAATTCTCTGATTACTATGCTCTATTCTTAGCACATTTTAGAAAAAAGGCTGACAAAACAGAGCAATTTCAAAGGAAGGTAATCTAAATGATCATAGGTTTGGAATATGTGAGGAACTGGGGATGTTAACTTGCAAAATAGAAAATCTGAGGAGATATGTAACCTATCTTCAAATATCTGAGGGACTATCAATGGGAAAAAATGTGTTTAGATATATATAGCTTTACCAGCAGAGATAATATCTATGTGGGCTCAGTGCCCATAGCACAGTGGTTACAGTGCCAGCCACATACACCGAGGCTGGCAGGTATGAATCGGGCCTAACTAGCTGAACAATGACAACTGCAACCCAAAAAAAAAAAAAAACAAAAAACCAGGCATTGTGGCAGGCACCTGTAGTCCCAGCTACTTGGAAGCCTGAGGCAAGAGAATCGATTAAGCCCAAGAGTTTGAGGTCGCTGTGAGCTGTGATGCCATGGCACTCTACCAAGGGGAAAACAGTGAAACTGTTTAAAAAAAAAAAAAAGGAAATAATATCTATATGTAAACATTGTACAGAATTCCATATAAAAAAGATCTAACAGAGCTTAATGATATTAAAATGGGCCAGCACTAGGGTAATGTACCTCTATTACCAAAGTATTATATACATTTTCAACAAAAAGGTACTGAGCACCTCGGTCCTGGGAGGTATGCCAAACACAGATGATGAGTAAATAACTAAACAGAGTATCCCTGCTTTAGCAGAAGATAAAGTCTCATGGCAGAAGCAAGTAACAACATTAATACATTTAAAATGACAAAAAGATAGACGTCTAAAGAATACAGTTCTTCAAGAGTATATAACAAAGGATCCTGACTTGTATTATGGGATCAGAACAGGCTTCTCTTAGAGTAGCTAAGTGATGTTTGAGTAGGAGGTAAATGGTTGGGGGCAGAACACTACAAAGAAAGAAAACAGTACTTGCAAAGATCTTACGATAAGAGAAACTACTGCAGGTTCAAGGAATTGAAAGTCTTATAAATTATAAAATCTGAGCACAGAGTAAGGCAGTAAGTGGAAAGAAGCAGGTGCAGAACCACAAAGAGCCTTGAAGGCTTTGTGAAGGGTTTGGTCTTCTCCCAAAAGTAATGGGATGCTGTTGAAGAGGGGTGTAAGTAGTAATAGGCCCAGAAAGAAACAACCACTGTGGAGAATACATTGGAAGTGGGCCAGAATGCGGGGAAGAGACCACTTGGGAGTTTTCTTGCAATAGTTCAGAGCAGAAATGATAGTAGCTTGCAAAAAGGAGATAGAAATTAAGATGTGGAAAGGTAAGCAGATTGGAGAGATTTTTAGATTAAAATGACAGAACATATGTCACTTATATAGTGGGTGATTTGGGTATATATAGTTTAAAGCAACAATGTCTTCAAGCCAGATTCTCTGGCTCTAATTAAACACCTTTTTTGGTGTGTGTGTGTGTGTGTGTGTAGGGTGGGGTGGCTCCACCATGAATTTTGCTGGGGGGTAGAGGACACAATGAAAACAAGAGGTATAAAGGGTGATCACCCCAGGTTTCCAGTCTAATAATTGGATGGATGAAATCTGTCCTGTCACTTACTCCTGGTGGTCTGTGAATTCATTCTTCAATTTTCTGAGACCAAGGACCTGGCAGAGAAATCCCAGTAACAGTGCCATTCAATGAGATAGGAAACAGGAAAAGTACTAATGGTCCCTGATTTACAATGGGTTTGGATTATCATTTTTCAATTTGCAATGGTGCAAAATTAATAAGCATTTAGGAGAAACTATACTTAAGGACCCATACAACCAATCTGCTTTTAATTTTTAATACAGTATGCAGTAAATTACATGAGGTATTCAACATCTTATTGAGATGTTTGAGATGTCTGAGATATTTTTGCCCAACTGAAGGCTAATATAAGTGCCCTGGGTATGTTGAAGGTATGCTAGACTAAGCTGTGATACTCATTAGGTTTGTTGTATTAAATGCATTTTTCAGCTTCCCATATTTTCAACTTACAATAGATTTATTGGGAATTAGCAATATCATAAGATAAGGAGCATCTTTACTCGTTAGGCTTTGATCCTGGGTTCAGATTTGAAGAAGCTGAGTTTGAGGAGCCCTGATTTTAAAAAGGCAGCTTGACATATTTATCTAGAATTTAAATGACAGGTCTGGACTGGGGATGAAATATTAAGAATTGCGGGCACATAGATAGTTATGGTTGTGGGCTTAGAAGAGATTGAGCAAAAAATAGAGAGTGAGAAATATCAGCACCGAATAACAGGGTAACTGAGGGTGAGTCTGCAAAAGAGGTCTGAATCAAAACAGGAGCAAGGCATCACAGAAGCCATGAGAAGAGTGTTTTCTATTAAGGAGGCAATAGTCAGGCTGGGCATGCGCCTGTAATCCTAGCACTCTGGGAAGCTGAGGTGGGAGGACTGCTTGAGCTCAGGAGTTCAAGACCAGCCTGAGCAAGAATGAGTCCCTGTCTCTACTAAAAATGCAAAACATTACCCAAGTGTACACCAGCTACTGCAGGAGGATCACTTGAACCCAAGAGTTTGAAGTTGCAGTGAGCTATGATGACGCCACTGCACTCTAGCCTGGGTGACAGAGCAAGATTCTGTCTTTAAAAAAAAGAAAGAAGGAAGGAAAGAAAAAGAGGCAATGGTCAAAAATGTCAAATGCTGCTGCGTTTAAGGGCATGTAGCAGGATGCTACTGCCAGAAATCAGACTGCAGTGGGTAGAGGGGTGAGTAGGTGGTAAGCAAATGGGAAACAATAAATAAAGACAATCTATCAAAATTTCTTGCTGCAAGGTAGGAAGAGAAAAGGTGACAGCTGTGGGGGTGGAGGAAGGGTTTAAGAAGGAAAAGCTTGAGCATGTCAAGAAGGAACAGATATGTTGGTATGTTATTCAGGAGAGGGGTTCCTGAGGAGGGGAAAGAACCTAAGTGGAGAAGCTAAAATAAAAGAAGAGGCTGTCTGGGAAAAGAAGAGAAAGGCCAAACTAAATGGCCTTTACCGTCTCTTCTGACTTTACAAGCTCATGACCTACAATTCCCTCTGGATAGGTCATTTGCATGTATGCATAATCTGTGCAAACTTATTCAAATATTCCAGTATAAATGGATCAGTCAAGCACATCCTACCCCGTAATGACGCAGTTAATGTGCCCAGGTTTATGACCAAGTACAATTCCTGAGCAGAACCCATCCCTCAGAGAGCTTTTAGCTTAAAGCACCCTGCAATACAGCACTGAACCAGCCCCTATCTCTCCTCGCCAAACCCATCCCACCCGGCGATCCTCAAGGGAAAAGGAGGAAGTAAAATTTAAAACCCTGAAACTACAGTAATATCTTGCTGCATTGGAAGCAACTGTCATTCATAAAAACAAAACGCGACACCCCAAATCCATCCCCGCTGCAGGCGAAAGCTGTTCCTGTCTGACCCGACAGTTGACAGGTCCCCCAGATGGCCTGGGTTAAACACTAAAAGTGGTTAGCGCCCCTCCTCTTTGACAAGACCTTTTATTTGCGAGGAACCAGACACGGGTTTCTGCGGATCCTTCCCACCCCCTCGCCCAAATGCAGCAGCCCGACTGCCCGCAGTCATTCCGGCGGCGCCACCTAATGAGCCCCTCGAGGGGGTACGGAGAAACCCCCCAGAGCCCGTGAGAAAGGGTTCGGCCGGCCACGACCCTGTGGCTGCCTGGAGGACTAAGGAAACAAGCCCCAAGGGGTGGGAAGGGAGGAAGAACGGAGGCGCAGCAAACACGAGTAACCAGGGGGTCATCTCCCCTCGAGCGGGATGGAGTTTCTCAGGAGGGCTAATCCCCTGCCACACCGCCCCTTCTCCACTCAAGATCCGCTCTAACCTCCCAGCCTTCCAGCGCCCCATTGCCCAGACCCACTCCTCCTCTCCCGGGGCTGTCTCGGTCTCGCAACGCCCGCGAGCCCGGCGCCCCCACCTCCAGCCTCAGCTTCCCGGGCCGGCACTCACCCGGCCCGCCATCTTCGCGGACACGTCCGGCTCGGCGGCTGCAGCTCGGCGTTCGGCAAAGCCCGCCCCCGCCACCCGTCCTTGCGCAGGCGCGCTGCCGCTGTGAGGCCGCGCGCGTCCCCGGCCGCGTCCCTGGTACCCCGCCCCGCGCGGCGCGCGAGCTCGGCGGCCGTCGGGGACGCGCGGAGCGGACGGCGGAGGGGTGCCATTTTGGACCGCCGCTGCGAGCTGCCCGAGCTGTGCCGGTGCTTCTAGAGTATGTGTCGGCCCACCACTCGCTTGATGGCTCCTTCTGCGAGTCTCATCACACCTGGCCGTTTGCGCCGGGATTTGTGGCAGGGCCATTGAGCCTTTTAACCTATTGTCTCTTCGCTAGCTGCCGTTCGCCCTTTAATGGCCATTTTGCTCTGTGCCTCCAGGCTCGCTTAAATGAGATGGTATCCTGGAGCTTACCCAGCGCGGCGACTGGCCTTCCCCCAGAAGATCAGTACCGAATAGTTTGCTCTGAATTCAAATTCTGCTTGCATTCAGGCTTTTCTGTATAGGCACGCTTCTTTTCTTAGTTCCTGGAAAATGGCCATGTTGACATTTTTATTTGTTGCCAGGAAAACTCAAATACAGGTATTTGCTTCGAATTCGAAAGTGAATTGTGATCATTTTTACACATTATTAAATCTTTATTTTTATAAAGGCAGTTTATCCTTTTTCATTTCCTAGTGTTGTTTCGTTTTAGACAACATATGGAACCTGAATAAAATATGCCCTTAATTCAGCCTTTTTAACGTCCGCGTTTGCACAACACCATTTCTTTGCTAGAATCTCAGAATAGCTGACTTCAAGCACCCTGCAAGAAAGTTTCCACTGAATGGATTCTCTGATGCTTTTATTGACTCCACTATCTTGCATTTGTCTTCATATTTGCACAAGACAATAAGAAATAGTAGGATTTATCTTTCATTTCTAACAGTTAATTAGATTGGGTTTTTTTTTCCCAACATGAGGAAAGAATTAGATGGGTATGCTGAGCGATTTAAAATTCATAACTAAGAAAACCAGAGAGTAACCAAAGATGGGCCAGGAAGAAGAAACGATTCATGCCAGTTTCATAGGCCAAATCAGATGTTAATTAAATTCATGGGTGGATCAGAGAAGTATCAGGAAAGATAGTTGTATTCTGATGTATTAACTTGTGGAATGAACTGGGGAGTCAGGAACCTTAGGTTCTTGTCCTCATCTTTGTCTGCCAACCTGCTTTGTCTGAGCCCATTTCCTTATTTGTATAGTGAGAACTACAAAGTGAATGTAAGCTCAGCTGTTGTATTTTAATTTTTTCCATACTTTGATTTGGACCTATCAATCAGAGAGATTGTGTTCAAATCATTACCAGATCCAAAAGATGACACTCATTCTCAGTCCAATAACCTGAGAATTGTTTTCAATGTTGGAGAAAAATGCAAATGTGTTTATATCACTGATTGTCTTATTTTACTAGTTAGACTAGATTGTAAGTAAGAATTGCCTCCTGCTCGGCGCCTATAGCTCAACTGGCTAAGGCGCCAGCCACGTACACCTAAGGTGGCGGATTCGAATCCCCAGCCCGGACCCGTCAAAACAACAATGACGGCTGCAACCAAAAAATAGCCGGGCGTTGTGGTGGGCGCCTGTGGTCCCAGCTACTTGGGAGGCGGAGGCAGGAGACTCGCTTGAGCCCAGGAGTTGGAGGTTGTTGTGAGCTGTAATGCCATGGCACTCTACCCAGGGGGACAGCTTGAGGCTCTGTCTCAAAGAAAAAAAAAAAAAAGAATTGCCTCCAATGTCTCCACCAAAGAGGAATGTTTATCATCTTGGACGGATGTGCCTGTTGGAAAGTTTCCAGTGTGTCAATGTATATGAATATCTACCCATGATAACAGGCCCTTTGTATCCCCTTGCAGTGGTAAAAATTAAATAGAATCATGTGCACAGCCCTGCAGGGTCTACCAAAGAAAATGCCAAGTAGGCATAGCCCTTATCCTTAAGGAGCTGTGCTTCCAGCAAGAGGGGAAAGATTCTAAGACATTGCTCCAAGTATTCTACATCTCTGCGTGCCATTTGTGCTTAACTCTGACATTCAAAATCATCTTAGAAACAGAGTGGAGCTGATTCTACATCACTTTCTGAGCAGTCCTTGAAGAGATAATTCACTAGTTTTCTTGATCCCTGGAGTTTACCTCATTTCTGTCTTCTGCAAAATCTGGTTATCTCCCTTGGTCTTGATTTCTGTGAGTTAGTGGCTTCCTTTTCTTCCTAAAAAAATGCCTCCCTCAGCTCTTCATTGATCCCTAAGATCCTTTTCATATGCTTTCCTTTTATAGTGAGAAAATAATACAGCTAACAGAATGATTTAAATGTATCCTAAAATGTTAATGATCTAGCACTCTGGGAGACCAAGGATGGAGGATTGCTTGAGCCTAGGAGTTTGAGGTTGCTATGACACCACTGCACTCTACTTGGGGCAATAGAACTAGACTCTGTCCCCCCCCCCCCCGCCAAAAGTGTAAGTAACTAATACCATTTTCTAAAGCTGGAGGGCTTTTGAGGGACAGGAGGTAGGACTAGGCATAGAGTCAGAGAGGAAAGTGTCCTCAAAAGGTGGAAAGAGAAGATGAAGAAATGATGAAATGAAAAAGAAAAAAACAAGAAATGATGAAATGGAGATAGCAGGACCCAGAATAAAGAACAGTGAATCATGGGGGCATGGGCAGATTTGACCAAAGTCACTCTTGCCAAACACACCTCTTTGTGACCCAGTGTGATGGTTAATTTTATGTCAATGTAGTTGAGTCATATTATCCAGATTTTTTGGGGGGGTGGGGGGGAGACAGAATCTCACTTTGTTGCCGTAGAATGCCATACCATCATAGCTCACAACCTCAAACTCTTGGGCTCCAGTGATCCTCTCGCCTCAGCTTCCCATGTCAATGGGACTACAGGAGCCCACCATCACACTTGGCTATTTTTAGACATGGGGGTCTCTCTGTTACTCAGGTTGGTCTTGAACTCGTGAGCTCAAGCATCTACCCACCTCAGTTTCCCAGAGTGTGTTGTCCAGATATTTGATCAAATATTATTCTGGATGTTTCTGTGAGGGTGTTTTTGGATGAGATTTACATTTAAATCTATAGACTTTGAGTAAAGATTACTTTCCATAAAATCAGTGGGCCTCATCCAATCAGGTCTGTTGAATAAAACAAAAAGCAAAACACATCCAGAGCAAGAGGAAATTCGCAAGCAGATTTAGCAGACTGCCCTTTGGACCAGAACTACAACTCTTCCCTGGGTGTCTAGCATGCCAGCCTTCTCCCCAAGTCTCTGGAGTCACATGAGCCAATTCCTTAAACAAAATACAGTAGAACCTCTTTCTGTAAGTTGAAGTTCTGAAGTTCTTTCTGTAAGTTGACCACCCAAGGGACTGTAACAAAATGGTTAACATATGGAGGTGATCAATATAAGGAACTAGGCCTACTATACTGATACAGATGTGGTGCATGCCCAGTCTATGAAAATTAGCTCAACTAAAGGAGGTGGTCCATGCAGGGAGATGGCCAACTATGGAGGTTCTATTGTATTTTCCTATATATGTAAGTATATACACATTCTATTAGTTCTGTTTCTCTAGAGAACCATGATGAATGAATATACTCAGTTTCCTGTCAGTGACATGGATGTGATTACTTTAACAAAGTAAAACTTAGGCTTGGCACCTGTGGCTCAAGTGGCTAATGCACCAGCCACATACACCTAAGGTGGTGGGTTCAAATCCAGCCTGGGCCTGCCAAACAGCAATGATGCGTGCAACCAAAAAATAGCCAGGTGTTGTGGCGGGTACCTGTGGTCTCAGCTACTTGAGAGGCAGAGGCAGGAGACTCGCTTGAGCCCAGGAGTTGGAGGTTGCTGTGAGCTGTAATACCACAGCACTCTACCCAGGGGAATAGCTTGAGGCTCTGTCTCAAAAAACAACAACAACAAAAACAAAGTAAAACTTAGTACCACTCATTACTCTTTAAAGGTAACCAACATCTGTAGGTGGAGGCCTGAGCAAAGGCTTAAAGACAGTACAAAGATAAAATTTTATGTTCAAATTATGCCCCTTAAACATCACATAACAAGTGTTCCGTTGGAATGGGACTGAGTAATATTTTGGTTATAGAGGCTGTTTGGTTGTAAAGGTCGTGGAGCAGAACTTACGTTGGGAAAAATAAATTGCTTCTTTGTTTCGAGGTGTGAGGGCAATATTAAAGGACAAAGAAGTGAAGTGATTTACTATAATCCACTCTATTTAACAAAGCAGTGAAACTTTTCAGTGCTTTTCACATTAACCAAAAGAAAACTCCCTTTAGTCTGTGGAAACTGTAGGGTTAAACAAATGGTGCTGGGGACAGAGATAGGAGTTTTTACTTCCAGCAGGACTGATTCAGAGGTCTTCCAGCAGAATTATATGCAGGTGTTTCAGGAAACTGTCCTGTTTGGTGAATTTATCCTACAATGTAATTGTCAGATACCATCCTTCAGGGAGAGAGACACAGAGAGAGAGGGTCCGCACTGCCCTTCTTGCAGGTATCATTGTGAAGCAGATAAAAGTGGTTTTCAGAGACCCTTTTATATCCTTCTCTCTATATCTCCTCCTCTCCTTCCCAAGTTCTTTCAGCATTAAAAACTTAATGTATTACTCCTCCCAGGAGCATTTGCAATTTAAGAGAATATTGCTGGAAGAACAATGCCTAATCTAAGTAAACAAACATCTAATGGCAACATTTCAGGGCCTGTGACACTGCCTAGGGAGCCATCTTACCCCACCAATTGGGGTATCCTTATCCCACCAATTCTTACCCCAAGAGTTTTATCCTTACCCCTTGTACAGGGCCACCAATACTGTACAAGCTTAGGCTTTCAGGGAGCCTCAGGAACACTCAAATTTACAGCCCCATCTTAGCCAGTTTTAGGATGATGGAGTTGCCATCTGTTTATTTTCTGTCAGAGAAACCTAATTCCCAAAATGATGGGTAAAGCTAGAGAATGGAGCAAAATGGAGAAGGGATATGGGAAAGGAAAAGGA